TTCCCAACCAAATTACGAAAACTAGGCCAAATCAAAACTGGTTTATATTTTCTATCAAATGAAACTATTCATATTACCATTTCAAATAAATTTTTTTCCAGAATTAAGATCGTAAATTAGAGGATGTCATAAACTAGGGTCAAATTTCAGACACCCACATTAATGGCTAAACTCTTCTGTTTTTGGAGGAATTCAATGATTACCAAACGGTCAGATTTACTTCATAATCAGCAATTAAAATAACGTGTTATGAAAAGGCGCATACTCTTCAGCTTGTTAGTTATTGAAGCAACTTGATAGCTAGATTTAAATACTGAGCTACCTTAGCCTTTTTTTATCCGCACAATGTTAGCTCTTGGTTTCATCTTTTTTTTGTTTCCAACCTATATAATACTTTTCACTGATTTGCGTACGGATTAGGATAATGTCGGGCTTTAACAAGCAAACTTATTTGCCCTATCGTTGTATAGAAGTTGTTTGAACTTTGTTTCGAAAACAAGGCAAAAACTTATTTTTCTCAACAAACCCACCATATGAATTTAAGCGAGTATTCTGCCCAAACTTCTTGAAACGACTGCGACCAAACAAAAGGCCGCACCACCTTGGTCTTCATATCTACGCTCTTGAAACGGAGTTTACAATGGATTTAATAAACAGCTTTTACAATATAACAGGATCGTTTTGAGGAGTGAATAATTAATTTGGTCTAAGCTTCGTTTTATTCACTGCTGTTTGATAAAATTGATTTTATTTTCGGTTTTTTGACCATTCTTCGTGCTATTTTATTTCGCTTTCCTAAATATTTTTTATACTAAAATCCTAATTATATATACACATGCGAAATTTTATGTGATAGGATCAACCAATATTCCTCAATATAATATGCTTATGACAAATCACCTAATAGGCGAGTCAGTAATTATCACTTGGCTTTGGAGTGATGCTTCCGTTATTTTAAATCACGATTTTAGCTGCATTAGTTTTCAGTCTTGCTGATTTATAATTAACTTTTATGTCTACCTCGCTTTCTTTCTTGTGTCTTGTGAATAGACTTCCGTGCTGACCTCATGTTGCCCACTTGTACTAGCTTGGTATAGTGAGACGGCCCTCGGAAAGAATAGGATAGGAGCTTTGATGCGCAATGTCGTCGACAAGGTTGTCCGTCCGAACCTCTCGCGCGTGGCGACATCTGCCATGCTGGCCGCCGCAAATGCCTGCAGTTTGGCCGCACAGCGAGCAGCTGTTGCCATCGGACACCTCTGCCTTGTTACTAACACCTTACCCAATGTGGTCAGCGTCGATATAGGCATGGGCTTGAGTGGTATGGGCGGAATAGGTGGAATGGGTGCCATATCTGGTCAGGTGACATCTCTATCGCGACTTAACTATCTCCTGGGTCTGTCTGGACCGCCATCACAGCCAGAGGCCTTTGTTCCTGTGACAGGTACCTCTGCATCTGGAAGTGCCAGCGTTTCGTCAGTTTCCAGCTCTGGTGGTCTAGCTGGCGGAGCTGCTGCTGTAGCTGCTGCTGCAGCCGCTAGCCTGGCTGCCGGTCGTTTGCAGTCCCCCTCGAGCTGCCTGGTTTCCATACCAGCCTCGGGCCAAACCACCGGACAGGCAGCTGTCGGTCTTTCAGCATCGGGGCATGCATTGCCGATGCAGGCCTGTCAGACGCCATCAGGCCAATTAATTTTGCTGGCCACTTCACCAGGTGGCACTAATTTGTCACTTCCAAATGCTTCTGCTGTGGCAACTACTGGAGGTAGCAGTGGAATGGTCGGATTGGAGTCGTCATCAAACCTACTCACTTGTCTCCCCACTGGGCAAGTATCCCATGCAAGGCAAAGACCACAGCCTCAGCATAGCCATCAGCATCACCAACACTCCCCTCAACAACAGCAGCAACTTCAGGTGGCACAATCAGCCCATCAATTGAATCTCCACCCTGGGACTCAAACACAACAACAATTGCCACTTCACCAGCATCAGGGTCAGGCGCTCTTCCAAACTTACCAGCCGGGACAGCATCATTCGACCTCCCATTCAAGATTAAATCACCATTCAAACCAACAATCCCAGCAACAACAATATATTTTAGTCCAAACTTCCGGCTCCAATGTAAGCTTTGAAAAACTTTTATATATTCATTAATAGATGATAGCATCCAGATAATCCTGAAAGCCCCAAATAATAAATTCCAATTTCGACACATGGTTCATTAAATTCATTGCCTATTGTATAATTATTTTTGCAGATCGTCTTTGTATACTGGAGGCATGAAGATAATTTTGATGTGTATTACCACGAAGCTTTATAAAACGATTTAATTCTCTAAGTTTTAATTCATTTGAATATTATACACATCCCAATAATTGATCTTCATACTTTGTTTATGAAATCTAGAAAAGTTATTTGAATATGACATGTAATTTTCCCTGTAAGCAGCGCAACCTATCATTTCCATTTGTTATATTTTGTTAATTATCGTGAATATCCTGGGCGATGAGGCTTATTGAGAAACTTTAAACCATTTATCATAATCATAGGATCTTAAACCGGTCTAGTCATTTAGTCTTTGGGTATTCACAACTCAAAAAAGATAAAAGTAAATTACTTCATAATGTGGAATATGTTTGTGAAAAACAATTGACAATCCATATGTGTTAAGTGTATTAGGTAAGTGAAAACTGAACAATTTGTGCACTTAGCAGTTTTACAGTGAAAAAGTTTACTCGAATAATGGAAAAACTTTAGTTTTTTTCATTTGGACTAGGCTTACAAGACTTCCAGTAAATCATATAAATGAGATATGTCCACCTTAGTTCGTTTAAGCTGATGAAGGGGTGGTCGTTTAATTTTCCCACGATAAGTTGAGTGCCCTTGGGTCACAAAGCAGGTGTTTCAAGGAAGATATTCCTACAATAAATGTGGTACGGGAGTGACCTGATCTTCTTTAAAATTAACGTCCGCCCAGTGACTCATGGCATTGTGGCGAAATGCTAACCTGTCGATATTATTCGCTCTATTACTCGTGTTTAATTCCTGCTGGGAGGGCTATAGTAACTAATTTAAGGTCTAAACTGCAGTCCACTATGAATAGCATTACCATTTGTTAATGAAGTTCATTGGAAACAAGGGGTATATTCTCATCATTGTGGGAAACTTCATCCATCAGCCCTTCTCAACCTTATGCGACCTAGGGTGAGTACCTCTTACACTAAGCATAGCTCTAACTTAGCCATTTATAAGATAAGATATTTTGTGGTTTGATGAATTGCTTATGCTTAAAAGGGTATATGAAATGTGTTTACCCTATTCTGTTTTAGGTGATGAACTGGTGGTTGAATTTTCCCACAAAAAGATGAATAGACTTTACGTTTCCATTATATTTCACATAGCCATGCTTTCCTAAAAGGTTTCCCCATCCAAGATGAACTGCAGTTTCAACCTCGCCTAGGAGGTAATTCGGGAATTTGTCTTACCAGAAATCGAAGGAAGATTGCTTTGGAGGAGTGAATACTGCTGGATTGTGCTAAAAAACAATCAGCCTACAGTCCTGTGACTCCGATCGATCAGATATGTGTTTTCTTCTGTCATGTGACAGACATCGTCAAAGAGAAAAAGCATACCAGAAGACCAAGAGAATAGGTGGACAGGTTTATCAGGATCGAAAGATGGTGAGTGCAGTCCAACAATTTTTGTTTTAGGGAAATACTACTTCGTTTCAAGTAGGATTTCGAGACTACCAGTAAATCAGATATATTAGGTGTGTTCATCATCTTTCGTATAATGTAATGAAAGACTGGTATCTAGATTTTTGCACATTGACACGAGTAGACCTCACATTCCTAATGAATTACACATAGCCTTGCTTTCCTAAAAGATATTCTTATCCAGGACGCACTGAAGTTTTGAGCTCGCCTTGGTTTTATCAACACCCCAGCGCGACTCGTACCATCACAGTGCAGCGTATAATTTCTACGCCTGATATACTACGCCACATTGCTGCCAATGCTCTTGGGTCACAGGGCAGATGTGAATTTCAAGAAAGTCCAAGTATTTTCGCATATCACATTCTGTGGTGGGTCTGTCGATCAAGCAAACTTAGATTTGCTATAACAATCGACGACATTAGTTATTTTTCATTTCTAGTAGGATTTCGGGATTACCAGTAAATCATATATTGTGTTCATCCTATTTCATTTAAGATGAAAAAGGACTGGTAGTTGAATTTTTGCACAATGATGTGAGTAGTTATGACGTTCCAAATGAATTTAACATTTCCTTGTTTTACCAAAGGATATTCTTTTCCATAGTGGACTGCAATTTTGCCCTGGCTTAGGCCCTATCATCACATCCAGCGGGACCCGTCCAATCAAGGTGCAGCGTATAATCTCGAAAAGCCAACCACTTCCCCATATTTCATCGAGTTCTCTTTTGGGGTGCTAC